CTATGTGATTGTCATTATGTCAGTAAGAATATTTTTGCTGTATAATTTAAACAATTTCCAGTGGTCGGCACCAGTCCTCTAAAGTGCAAATCCGCTAATTGTGCACCTAAATATTTCGTTTGCTCTTTAGCGGTCTTACTATTTTTTATAATTCATAAGCAGATTTGTGCTTTCTAAAATTAAAATGCAGTACTGCTAATAACTAATTATTTATCAGTCATCATTATCTTGAACAGAGGAAGGTATGGCTGCCAATGAATCACAACACGTGATCTATCCAACAGCACCCCTCCCAGATAAACACACATATTGTGAAGGTATACATCTTTGCTGACTGTTGCTTTCGGTCAGGGTTCTCATTTCTCACAATGCTTTGTGTCTGCTTATGTAGCAGGAAGGCTATGCTTAGTACTCTTTCCCAGCAAAAACAGTAAACGTTTGTAATCCATACTAAAATTTTGTATGTATTGATTTATTTTAATTTACAATCGGAGCCCCTTAAAAAAACTTTTAAACGCTGGAGCTCAATACTTGACGTAATTGGTCGAAGCAACGGGGTGACAGACTCAGAAATGATTTAAAGATGCTGATGAAGACTGGTATCTAGTGGTCAGCTGGAGCAACTACATGGAAAACTTTCATTTGCCGTCACAAATCAAATCTGTCATGTACCCAGAACGCATCTCTTCAGTTTTCCAATAAACAGTTTTAAAATTACTTTATTGATGTTTCTTTAATGAAAAATCTACAACAAACAAAAGAAAAAGACAAATAAGCAGCCAAACTAGCAATCCTCAACAATTTTTTAAAGAATCAGCAGATCTAGCAAGCCTCAACAACGTTTTAATTTTTACACCAGGAGCTAAAGTTCTGTTTCAGGAAATCACATCCCCAGCAATCAACGCGTGTAGGGTTAAGCTTTACAAGGGTTCATACACCACTAGTTAGCAGTGTTGCACATATTTTGTACAGTTATTGCCAGCTAGTAAGTGTCAAATTGAACTTGTGCCTTAGAATTAGCTTCCGCTAATTTTCTATGGCATAAAGATTTTTTGAAGTTGTGGACCTAAATATTTTTATAAGCGCTTTAGAAATTGCGGAGCTAATTTTTGAATTAGCGCTGCCCACCACTGACAATTTCTATCAATGCTGGTGGTTGGTAATATTTATCTCTGTGCTTGCTTGATGTTGAAGAACCGAACAAATAGAAAAATGCATCCAGGGAAAGCCAAAACTTAAAAGAGCCAAATTAAAATGTGTCTATCCAACTTCTTTTTCTAGCTGACTAAACTGTGGGAGCTTCTTCTTCACCCTGAGTGGGTGAGTGGTGAGTGGCACGCTGTGAAGATGGAATTATACACCAGCATCTGCTTGCCTAAGCTTTCTGTCTAGATTCAGACTCCTGAGATAGAAACGTGGTAGAAAAAGATGGAGGCAGAAGTTAAAATAGGTCTAAAAAAGAAGAGAAAAAAACAACAACAGCAGAATGTTCAAATGGTCTAGAAGTTAAATTTACAATTTTTGACTCATCACTGTCTTTACCAGCAGTACACAGAGGGCTCGACAAATGAAGACTGCATTACTGAATATCTGCACAAATGAAAAAAAAAAAGAGTCTGTGGTAAAAGGAGTGTTGTGTGTGATTTACTAAGACTGCATGCACAAAGAAAAAGAGGTGCAGCWGTGGTACGGTTTTATTAGTTTAATTTTTATTTGTTTTATTAACTTTTTCATTGCAGTTTTCTCAAATGGCACTGTGACACTTTAACATTGACTTAAAAATACTTTAATAAATAAAAAGAGGTTAGCTCTCACTTTCACTGTCTTAAAGAAACAGGATGATAGTTTAGATTTAATTTAAATTTACATTTTTAAAGCTGATGTGATATATTTTATTTCTATTAAAGTGGGATACATTTTATTTTATTACTGTCACACACTACAGGAGCAGAGCTGAGGGTTTAGATGGCTGTAGACATACCATAGGACAGACTTTCTCTCATTTTACATTTACACATGCATATAGGGCAGTCTTACAGATTTTTTTCAAAAAACTTTCCTTTAAAATTATTTAAGTCTCAGAGCCAGCAGGCTGAATAAACTTCACAAAATCGTCATCCTTCTCTTGCTGCAGCTCTACAGATGTCATCTCTCTGACACTACCTTCATGAAGATAGACACGCTGAATGGATTGTGACTGTTGTTTTGCTCATCTGACAGTTGCAGTACTCCCTGTGCACCGTTACTAAATCTGCTTTGCGTGCACTATCAAATTTGCACATTGCTTTATATGCAGTAATCATTGATAAAACAAGACCAGAATGTCACAAAGCCAAAATTAAAACAAATAAGCAAATAGATCATAAAAAAGCCTCCAAATGTAAAACAGAATAAAAAATAAATAAAGTATACAGTACATTGTCTGCCAGCTTTCTTGTCAGAGTTACAGGGGTTAGACAATGAAACTGAAACACCTGGTTTTAGACCATTACATCCCTTTCAGACAGCTTCCTCTGGTGTCCACAGTTAATCCTGTTGGATGTGGTTGGTCCTTCTTGGTGGCATGCTGACTAGGTTTGGGCAATATTGGCAAAAAAATTAATCATGATTAAGTGGGGTATTGTAGCCGATAATGATTAATTTGACCATTAATCCCCTGTAGTCCCTGGACACTCTTATGTCCTAGTCACATGACCAATTTAGTGGGAAAGATTTGCTCTTTATAAAAATCTGGTCCAACTTGTGTCAAAATTACAGACTTCAGGCTGTACAACAAATTTTAAATTGTGTTGGTAGATAAATAAATTACAGATTTTTTTTAATGATCATCACATTTGAAGTGGAGATGAGCACCAGTCAGTCTGCAAGGTGGCATTAATCGTATTAATCGTCAAGTGCCAAAAAATAATCGATTGTTTTTCTGACGATTTATTGCACACAATACAATTATGCCCAACCCTAATGCTGACATTACCCTGGATAACGTGGCTCTTGATACATCACAAGGACTTGCTGTCTTATAATAATAATAATAATAATAATTATAATAATTATAATAATAATAATCCATTAGTCTTATATAGCACTTTTCGAGACCCTCAAAGACGCTTTACAATTTTCATTGATCATTCATTCACACACACATTCACACACTGATGATAGTAAGCTACATTGTAGCCACAGCTGCCCTGGGGCAGGCTGACTGAGGTGGGGCTGTACCACCGGCCCCTCTGACCACCATCAGTAGGCAAGGTTGGTGAAGTGTCTTGCCCAAGTACACAACGACAGAAACGGCTGGAATGGGGATCGAACTGGCAACCTTCCAGGATGACTCCCATAACCACTCTGCCACGGCTGCCCCGTACCACCATACCGTCTTGGTCACAGATGCACCAGCAAGATGTGCACCAACAATTTGTCCTCTTTTGAACTCTGGTATGTCACCTATAATGTTGTGTGCATTGCAATATTTTGAGCAAAACTGTGCTCTTATCATGCTAATTGAACCTTCACACTCTGCTCTTACTGGTGCAATGTGCACTTAATGAAGACTGGCCACCAGGCTGGTCCAATTTATCCATGAAACCTCCCACATTAAAATGACAGGTGTTTCAGTTTCATTGTCTAACCCCTGTAGACTGAGATTATTTTATGTTGAGAACTAGAGTTGCAGCAGTTTTAGCCAAATTTTAAAAGTTACATTAGGTGCAATCTCATGCAACTTTGCAAGTTGTCATGCTCAGAAAAGTCTAAGTAGTAAGCAAGTAAGTATGTAAGTAGACTTTATTTATACTGTATAGCACCTTTCACAGACGCAAACATCACAAAGTGCTTATCTGAGAGCAAAATAACTAAAAACAATAAAACAGATCACACACATATAAAACAACAATTAAAACACAGTAAAAATCACTTAACTAAAAGTGTTGTAAATGACTCTGCCAAAAAAAGTTTTAACACAATATCTGTAGAATTTAAATATTGCCATTTGTTCATGTTTTTTAAGACCAGTTGTCAGCTGAAGTCATGTTGAATTAAATTAGCTGCAAAGGTCAATCAGAATAGTTCCTGGAGTAACTATGGCTACGTTCACACTGCAGGTCTTAATGCTCAGTTCCGATTTTTTGAAAAAATC